ATCGAAAATTTCTACTTAATATTACGTTTTTCTTAAATAAGTTGTATTTTTCTCAAATAAATTAAATAGTGAAAAAAAATTAGTTAGGTTCACACGGCAATCGATTTTGATCAGAATTACCTGCAACACAGTATAATACATTGTATATTATTACTTAACGCGATATTAAAATAGGTTTTATGTAAGATAAGGACAAACACTCTCACACTGAAATAATAATAACTTAGTCACAAATTTCTGGAAAAACAATGCAGTACAATTCGTTTTGGCTGTTAGCTTTACAAATACTTTCAACTTTTATAATTATAATGTAATTATAATTTCATTGTAATTATAATAATTGAAAATTATAATTATAATTTTATAATTATAATTATAATTTTCAATTATTTATAATTACAATGAAATTATAAAATCAAAATCAATACAATGCCAATTATTTTGAACAAGTTAACGTTTCCATTCTACTCGAAATTATATGAAAATGTGTTTTTTATTTGTCGGTTTGAAATTTACTCCAGATATATTTTAGGGTATACTTTAGAGCAGGGGTTTCCAACTGGCGGGCCGGGGGCCGCATCCAGCCTGCGAAGCCTTTTATTGTGGCCCGCGAACTAAAATATATTAGTTGTCATTTTTTAGCGGACAATTTTCGTAAAAAATCTATATGGGTTTAAAATACTTCTCTCGTTGATAAAAACCTAATTTCTTTTCTTTTCTGTGAAATTTAACATACCAACGGTGCAAAGAAATTTATTTCTCAGGTTTTGCACCCAAGAAAATATTTATTAAAATACAAAAATAATCGTGTATGTTGCTCTATTTTATTTCATTTTTTTGTATTTTGTGAATATAATTTAGCATGTGCGAAGTATCAGAAATTTTCTCGAAGAAATTCTCCAATTTAACTTTTTGAAACCACTCATTTTGGACGAAAATATTTACGCACACGTTTGTAAATTTTAAGTTTAAAATGTAAATATCTATTCTCTGGTGGTTGCAGCAGACAAACCTCTATTTTCTAATTGAATATTTTGTGTGCTACTATGTAAATTTTAATACCAACCTTTTTAAAGTTTTATATCTTAACAATTAGATATCTGCTGCACATTATTTGCTTAATACATGGGTGCACATTAAAGTTATTGTAGCCCGAATTCTTATTATTTATTTAATATACTTAAAAATATTATTAATAACAATTAAATATTTTTAAAAATCTACTTATTTTAATTTGTAATTCAATATATTTTAATTTGTAATTCAATACTTTTGTTTTGTACAACTTGATAAAAATCTGACAGTAATATTTAGTGTTCCTTCAAACATGAAAGAGTCCTACATAAAATGTTGATAAAGTTGCGTCCCGCCATTTGATCTGTGTTTTTAACTGTGGCCCCCGGCCTCATGTAAGTTGGAAACCCCTACTTTAAAGCGTATTTTAGTCGAACTTTTCTTTACACCCTATATTATTGTAATATGGTAGCACAATGGTGTGGTGGTAAACGTGGCATTCCACAGTTTTTCCTTATCCTTGCTGAAATTTAAATAAATGATAGTTAAATTATTGTTTCTCGTGTTAGCTTTCAGGCAATAAAATATTTCGCCTATTCATTGCTGATGTTACAAAAGTTTGATTCAAAGAAACAAAGAGATTCCTTTTACAAAACTAATATCTTTATATTAGCTTTTGTTATTTAATTATTAAAACGTACATTGAATAATCTATAAGTATATTAATACAAATATATGAATACATACTGATCATTATTATATTGCACATTATTGTAAATGTTCACTCCATAGAATGAATCAACGAAAATAAAAACAGATGTATAACCACATTCAATCAGAAATATGTTTTTATGAAACTTCGTAGAATGTTATATTTTATTAAAATCTTTTTACCAAATAAAAATTAAATTAGCTGACGACTTAATAAGAAACATTGCATTTTGTAATTAAAAAAAATAGTAATCGACTAACAACGAAAAATTATGAAAGAATTTTTTAGCTTACGTTTGCAAAAGTTAAACTCCTTGTAAGTTAAACACATTAGGTATTTATTTCTTCAAAAATAATAAATTAAAATTTTTATCGGATCCCCTCTCACTCATCAAAAATAGTTTAAACTTTAGATTTCTTAACAGAAAAATACGTATATTAATATAGTATAAAAAAAATTATGCCTCATATTCAAAACTTTTATTGCTAATTATTTAACATATCTGCTACTCATTAGTCAGCATATATTTGAGGTCACACATCCTACTGGAACTTTTAAAATTGCTAAATACGATTATTAGTACAAAAGTTATTGAAGGTGTATCCTTTTTTTCCTGCCTAGTTCGTTACGTTTGAATATATGTAAAGGTAACAAAAGGTTAAACGAGATTAAAAAGTTATGATTCTTTCAACCCCCCCTCCCTTTTTTTTTTGATTTTTATACTATACATATTCATTTTCCTTTCTTAAAAAATTGCAGATATTTGAACAAATGACTTTGAGAATACTCGAAAAGAAAGAATTGATATCATTTATTGACCCTGTTAATATTGAAATAGAAGGAAAGTCTCCCGAATGGAAGCAAAATAAGTACGTGCCAGCTACGCGTACTACCGAGGAAGAAATATTCAATGGATCTGCTAATAAAACAGAAATTCTTCATTGTTCAAAAAAAGATACAAATTATCCAGAAGACAGCGATTTGGAGTCTAGAACTGAAGTCGAGAACTTGATTGTGATAAAAGAAGATATTATTGGTACTCAATCAAGCTGCAAATTAAAATCTTTAGAGCTAAACGAAAATTACCATCCTTCGAATGATGAAAAAGATGCGATTCCGAAAGTAGAAAATTATATGCTTTCAGAAGAAGAGATGTTACTTGAAGGAAAATGTCCAGCGTGGTTTGCTTGAAGAAAAAAATTTTATTTGCGCCTATTTGGCTCCGTTTAAGTTATGATGTTTAAAGACAAGCTTATTTTTCCCTCACAGTTTTAAAGTTTTATCTGACAATTTTTATTGGTATTTTGTTTTCGCAAATTCTACTTTTAATGGATGTATACAAGACGTACAAGACGTAGCAGGTTGTACTTCTTGGTACTATAAAACACAGGCGATGATAGCGTCCTCGGTCAGAGATTCAATTGAAGACACTATATTAAATGTACAGATTTTAATTTCATTTTCAGATTAAGCCAAACACAGTATTTCTTAATGTTTGGAATCAAATTTTTAAAAAAATATTGTTTTTGAAATGAAGTTATAAAAAAAAAATTTTTTCACAGCAGTGACTTTTTTTTAAATTTGTTCTTTAAATTTTTGTTTACTTCAAAACTAATCATTTTTTATAAGTTGGTATTTTTTCTACATAATAATTACATAAAAATTACATAAATTAGAAATCGCCTTGTGTCTATAACTCCGTTTGGGTAATTTTGGTGCAGCAGCGGTGGCTGGCGTCGTTACACAATAAGCAAAAGGGCCAATTTATAGGGGTGTGACTTGAAAAAGAATATCCGAGATAAAAATAATAAAAAGTCTATCGATATCTGAGTTGTACCTTTAACCTAATATCATACGAAGATAAGATTTGCAGAATGGGTCAAGTCTCCTAACTAAAAAAAACAAAA